TATTCGAATGTATAGGAAAATTATAATACGTAAAAAAATAAAATAAACACAGGCTCACGAAGAAAATAATACTTGTTGTATATTAATTTTAATCATTTGAGAATGAGGGAAAACAAGTGAGCAAGAGAAGTCAAAGTGTATTACAATAAAGGGGGAAATACCTAAATAGAAAATGAGAGAAACCCCATCATGAAAATGTAATATTGCATGACACGAAAAAAAAAAAATAATAAATAAAATGATGACAAGAAAAAGTCGTACATGTATGATACATAAATACGGGCTTCAAAACGTCCTTGATTTTTCTTGAACTCTATAAGAACAATCAATCGTATTTGTGCAAATTGATTTTTTTATTCATTGTTTATTTTTAAAATTATCAGGTTATAATAATAAAAACCAATTTTCAATGGCTAAAATGTATTTTCTTGTAATTACTTCTATGATAATATTAATTCCTCCATTTCGTCCATCATCAATCCCTATTTTGTTTGGTAAATTAAAATAGATAATATTGAAATGCAAGTTCCCTAAAGATAAATATATTATTATTTACATTCAATAAAAATATAATTTATTTTTTTTATATATCTTGGCCTTAAATATACCCAATTTTACAAAATACTGCGAACGCATGAAAAGAAAGACTATTTTAACATGACTGCAAATATAATTGTTTGTTTATTTATTGTTGTTTTCCAACACTTGAATAAAAAAGTTTTTCACTTTAATTTTTACAAAGCTCAAATATCGAATTTCACACGTAGTTAAATTGTTTATGAGAGCGATAAATTTTTTACACTATCAAGTATACCGCAGCATCAATATTTGGAAGGGATTTTTTGAATAAGTTCAATTTATAAGTTTTTTTTTATACTTTTGCTGTACATACGTATTTTATTATGATTAACTGAAAACAAGAAAAAAGTAAAATAAAACAAAATAAATTATAATAATAATAGTAATAATAATATAAGGGAACAAAAAATGGATCCGAGCAACGGAGGGAGTGTGGGTGTAGAGAAAGTAAATCACTGGAAGTATAGTTGGCCACTCGAGTGGAGTGCATAGCGCGTAACGCGTAACGAAATAGATAACAGACAGAAATTCAAAGGAGTGTCACGTATACTAGCGATGTGTTGATATTGTTGCACAAAAGGTGCAGGGGATCGAAAGGAGGATACCAGTGGGTCTTTTTTTTTTCATTTTCCAAGGCCTTTTGGTGAGTGAGAAATTTTACAAAGCTGCGCAACGTTTCGACTGTTGGTCCGACGTTTGATCGAAGACAAAGTACACGCCGTATGATTTAAATAATAATGCGACGAATCGAAAGTTTTAATGTCTTTGCGGTCGAGATGAATTGTATCGAAAATAAACCTTTACCTTCTCATCTACGATTCTAAGGTCGCCGATATAGTATGATTGTAATGATAACTTATTTTTCTACATAGGCCGTTTTGAGCAAAGTTATCTCAGACAGCTGTACCCCTTCAGGTGTATGTGTAACAGTAGATATCGAAAAATGTGTATTGAAAAATTTTTAGCAAAAAAATGAAGTTGAATGGAACCAAACAAAAGTACGGCCTAAATCCGTAAAGTGCATGAGACGAACGAGCGAGAGAATTTAGCAAAAATATGAAAGTATAAGACACATATGCGAAGGTGAGCGTTTCATAGAAGTAAAAAAAAAAACAATACATCCATGTGTGTATATAGTATATTCACCTCCTTTTCCCACGAACATGGCTTATAATCGCTGACAATTCTTATTCTTCCATTATTGCGATTAGCTTTGTCGATGAGATATTATTTTCTTTCTTTTTTTTTTTTTTTTTTTTTTTTTTTTTTTTTTTTTTTTTTTTTTTTTTTTTTTTTT